ATAAAATTAAAGAGTTCATTGGATTTTAAATTTGTTTTTATTATCTTCTAATTATCCTGCGCCATACCTATTATTGAGCACAAAGCTCCCACAATAATATGTTGGTATATTAGTTGTATCCACCGACTTGAACGGTAAATATTGCTTAGAGTTGTCTCAGAAATCTCCGGATGCCATTCATTTAAAATTGAGAAAAAAGTACCTAGCAATTTCAAATATTATAAACCTCCGTCAAAAAACGTAGGTATTAGTGATACATACCTAAAATTTCTTTTTATTTGATACCCATAGAGGCTGGGAAATTCCAATGTCCAAGCACGAACGCTGAACATGTTGCCAGGTCCATAGATAAGAGCACCTCAATATTTCACACAGCTTAGGAATTTATAATATCAAAAGAGTAAGCTTATAAACCATAATCAGGGGCTGCACGTGCACATACAGTGCAACATAAAAAGTACTAAATCCTCTAAATGCCCGTACTTTGAACCCAATTTAGCGCTCGGTTAAGATTATCGGAACTTTAAATGTGACATGGTAAGCCTATTATACATTCATAGCTCAGATGCGCGCCTAGTGGACAAATTTTGAAATTAGGTTAACACATAAAATCCGATAGATTGCGTTTGCAACAAGTCTTAAAAAGTAACTTAATTAGTAAACAGATAGTAAACAGTAATTTAGAGCTGCCGCCATGCTTTTCTGTGTAAAATTCGCCACCCCATATAATTTAAGGCAGAAAACCTAATTTCAATAACTTATAAAAGCGTATAACGGAGCTGAATGCATTTAAAGTAGCTTGCAGATCTCCTTGGTCTCTGTCAGGAGTCAGGACAGCGTTATCATTAGAATATTGAAATTTACAGCCAGTTGTTGTGAATACCTTGGACTTGGCTCGAGGTCTATAGCTTGAATAGCGCACCATCGGTTTTGGGAAAGGTTCCAACACCGAACGGTAGGTTTCTTCTGTCAAAGCGGAGTATGGTTCCTGTAAATATAGAGAATAAACGCTCCAAGGTTTATAAAGGCCATTGGTGCTTTCTTTTTATTTGCGTCTATCTTGCACTGAATATCGTGTCATCAGTCAGGCGTAAAGCATAGTAGGGTTGCAGGAGAGAATCCTGTTAACTAAGATATTTTCCAGCTGTTAAGAGCAGTGATACTTATCGGTAACTTCCACAATTTATCTTGTCTATTTCTCTTGAATATACTGACGATAGAAGTGCCCAGCAAATCTTTGAGAAACATCTAAGCATTTAATCTTTTGCTAGTAAACATAATGTTCACTTTGAAAAGCTCAGCAGAGATTATTCCAGCAACTTTATCATTATTCCGTTGGTTGATCGCTTCCTCAAACTTTCCATGGGAAGGAACGTCCGTCAGATAGTGTTGAGTAGGTTTTTGACGGACTTTATTGAAGACGACATCATAAAGAATCAAGAAGAAAGAATCCCTTGGTTGTTGGGAAGGTAGAAAACAAGGTACCTAGGTCTCTTTAAAGTAGGTAAATATGATAAGCTGTACAGCTGGCGTTACTGGCGATTTTCGGACAGATAATTCAGGTTCAATCAAATTGCTGCCCCTTGGGAACGACTTTTGTAGAAGTCATCTTGTCAAGAATGTCCAATATTTCAGTCAGCGCCTATTTGAACTGGACTAGTTATATCTGTTTATCGGAGTAAAGGGCTCTTACAGTTACCTATTTCGGTAGGATTCAAATAGGGCGGAACATGATAATAGCATATAATATTGAGAAAAATCTATATATTTTGTCAAGTCGATGGAGATGCAGTTTTATTTCATGGGCGTAAGAGGGGAGTGAACACAGGGTGAAATGTTGTTGAAAGTAAACTTTGAAATTAGTTTATTGATTCGTATAAAATGCTAGTTAGGATGGTAGATGGCGCTGCCCGCAAGCAATCAATAATCTTGCATAAATCTATATATGAATTTTTGAATCTAGTTTGAAGCTGTTATTCCGTTATGACGATTGAGATTTTCTGCCATTCAAAAATATTTTTTGTGCCGTCCAAATGAAAATGTAATTTTGTGTCTTTCAACTATAGCTACTTTTTCATTGGTAGACAAGTTTTAATAATTTTGGTACTATGCAAGATAGACCTAGTGCCGATTTCATAGTCGCCCTTTGAAATTTCGTCATACCCTAAGCTAGCATTGGACGTTTCGAATTGACATGAACAACTTATCAATTTGCCCATTCTAAACTAACAACTTCCAAGTAAATCCCAAGGAACATTTATAAATTTGACCCTGAAATGATCAAGGAAAACTGCTTACCCCATGTTTCCAGCATTTGTTAAAAAAAAAAAAAACAGAATGGCGGAAGCGCTTGAACTTGGTTAAACATTGACAGTTAATTTTATTATAAAGTAAGTATCTATCTTGAACCAACTTTTAAACGTACATAAATCTGAGTTTCAAGCTTAACGTTATAGGCCATACTAGATAGCCCTAGTACTTACCTACCAATATATCTTTGTGAACTATTATTTCTACCTCTTCAGCTATCAATATGAACCTGTTTCATTCAATATTACTTTTTAATTTGGCATTTACCCATTTTCTATAAATATAACTTTTTTAGCAATTCACAAAGTGTATCTTCTTGACAGTGTAACAAATCATCAATTATTTTTCCATGTAGAAAATTCATGGTAGGTACAGGTGTTAATAATTCACTGAATTTACTTCATCCTTCCGGGTGGTATCGCTTCTAGACAAAGGAAGGTAGAATATGCACTACGTGTGTTTGTGCTTTGTAAGACAATGAGCTTCCTTTCATTGCTTCACAACGCGCAAAAGCACGTATTTTTGCATTCACTAGTCTAATCGTTACAAACTCATTGTATATGTGGTAGATGTGCAGTAGATTGAGATTGTAAAGACTATCAATTTTCCATATGGAAATATTCTGATAATAAGTTAGAGGTAGTTATTGTGGTGTGCACTAGCTTCAAACAGTCACTTTTCTCTGTTTAAACACTTCAATGCATTTCCTATTTCGGTCACAGCCAGTGCTCGCAGTTTGCAGCCTGTAAGAAACAATCGCTCAGCTAAGGTACTGATTCATCTTGGAACGACGGCATTGAAAACATTTATGGGCGATGCTTACTGATAGTTTGCAAACTGTCAGAGACTCTTGTGAGAACAGACCTTAAAAATCGTTCCGTAATAAAAAGTATTTTGAAAAAGAAGTTGCACAGTATTGTTTCATTACATTGGTATTGTAATCACTACATAGTATATGAAACAAACACAAACTAATAATCAGTTTTCAACACAGCCAAAACTTTTTGAGTAAAAAAAATCAATAAATAACGAAATGTGGAAAAAAAGTGTTTTAAAACGCACCGTTCTCGTAAGAGAAAATGCAAACAAAGATCGAGGCCACGTGACCGAGTGAAATAATCAAAAACGTGGCATCCTATGGTCGCCACTGGCTTCAGTATAGAGTCACTGTAGTCTTAGTCTAGGAAAATTGTCGATTTTCAACAAAAAAAATCCTACCCGAGTGAATTTTTCAGGGATGATAGTGGGCGGGTGGGTGATGATAAAACCAAAGATATCACACATGCACCCCTCTGGCGTTTTTCGCTATAGGGGTTGAAAGTGCGCCATGGGTGATTACTTGGTACCTATTGATTTTCCAAAACACTTTTTCAAATAAAAGATGTGCGACATTATTTGATCTATAATGTTTATCTAAAGACTTTTTTGATTAAGGGACGTCTGTGATCATGCCGTTTTTCAATGTAGGAAATGTAATCTTATAAAACTTCTATTGAGAAAATTTTTTGGCAAAAAAATAAAAAATCTTTAAACTAAAAGGCGGTTACACACGGACGTGGATGTCTGAAAACATGTACGCACATACATGAACGCTCAAACAAAAACATCAATGTGTATGTAAAATACCGTCGCGTTTTTGAATGTGCAAACTGTAGAATGACATTCAAATGAATTCTGGAATCGCTAGAAATTTTGTATGCACACTCAGAATACTGTAGCAAGAGTAGCAAGACTGACAGTTTTGTATGAGCGTCTGTACAAAAGGCACATGCACGTTGTTGTTTGCACGTTGATGTATGCACGCTGATGTTCACACAAAACTGTCAGTCTTGCTACTCTTGCTACAGAATTTCAAGTGCACATATAAAATTTCTAGCGATTCCAGAATTCATTCGAGCGTCATTCTACAGTTTGCACATTCAAAAACGTGACGGTATTTTGCATACACATTGATGTTTTTGTTTGCCTAACCTAAAAACTACTCTTACTAGCGGTACATTTTTCTTTTTTTTAAATCGTGTACAGAATAATTTTGGAGCAATTTTTTTGAATTAAACTTCAAAAAAAAAAACCCTAAGGGAAGTGTCCCCCCGCTAAAAGAAGGTGAGTTACCAAAAAAGTTGATAAGGAAAAATTGTAGGAAATATAATCTTATAAAACTTTTATCAAGAAAATCAAAAAAACTTTAAACTACCTCTATTGAAAAACGGCTGGGGGTGAGAAGAAACTTCATAAAGCAAAAACTCAAAAACGTTGTAGTTACGTGTTGTAGAAAATAAGTTCACGTTGGTCAAAATTTTTTATTTTCGTTATAAATTTCAAACGGCCCTTATGACCACAGATGGCCCTTGATCAAAAAAGTCTTTAGATAAACATTGTAGATGAAATAATGTTGCACATCTTTTATTTGAAACATTTTTTTGTAAAATCGATAGGTACCAAGTAATCGCCAATGGCGCACTCTTAACCCCTATAGCGCAAAACGCCAAAGGGGTGCATATGTGACATCTTTGGTTTTATGATCACCCACCCCACCCGCCCCTATCATCCCTGAGAAAATTATTTGTGTAGGTTGTTTTTTTTGCAATGCATGTATTTTTTCGACAATTTAGGACTTACCTCTCGATTCTCATTAAATTTCAGAGAAGTTTTTGCAATTTCCTAAGTTGGGGGTACCAATAAAAACAAAGTTTCTGGTTGTGGTATATTTTTATTTTATTTTAGTGATTCTTTTACAATTAACATTTATACAGTCGTCATATTATAATGGTGCTATTCGGGTAAGCGTGCAAATACATTTTTTTTATCAAGAGCTAACTATTTATCCCATTTATTGGATGCACCGCTATATCTTAGTTGTTATTCATGGGACCAATATTATCCAATCCCAGAGATAAACAGATATGTTTAACTTATACCAACATCTATTACGTAGAACTTCTAGTTTACATTAAATGAAAGATTTTTCTATAATCTATATACTATCATATTATTTTTTAGGTAGCGCTGCATCGCAGTGTGCAGCACCCTGTTTTATCTGCAACGGACATGATTATGGTGCAATTGACATTTATATATACGAACATCAAAAAAGGGATACAAATCAATAATAACTCAGATATAGGGGGACTTATTACTAAAATGGGACAATACCTATTGTTAAGTGGAAAATCAATGGGTTTTTTGTTACCAAGCAATTTGACACTAAACTTATTTTCTACAATAATTTATACCAGTTAATTTATTTAGTTTTTATTTCGGTGATAAATGTTGGAGGTGGAGGATACCATTTTCATTTTGATGTACATATACTTATTTACTAGCAAAATAAACATTGAGAAGCCTGTTCGCAAAAATTCATAAATCTAGAGTCCGTCCTCTTAGGTAGGTATAAATCTGGTGATTTGACGTAGACGGCTAGGACTAAAGGAAAAAGGTGAATTGGTTTGGTATTCGACCCAAAAATTTTCGTTGCGATTTATCATCCGTGGTGAGTCATTGGTTTTGAGAACTCCTAATTAGATTTACGGCTTTTTTAAATTTGACTCTCAACGGCTGAAGATGTAATATCAGGACTTCTCAAAACTATTAAATCTGAAGGAGGAATTCTTAACTAATAAAATATTTAATATCTTGAATCCGTCTCGAACATACAGATGCCAACAATAATAAAGGATAAAATTAAAATTTGATAGACTTGTTATAGCTTTAATGTCAGCATTTCAATAAATAAATCATAGTTTAAATATTTTTGATATGAATTATGATATGAGTGCATTTATCTTGGTTTTCAACAAATGAAAGGCATCACAAAGTGCATATTTTCGTCAGCATAACTGTGCCAAATTGCTTGTTAAACAATGTCGTATAAGTTTTTAAGAAATTCAAGAACTTTCTCAAACATTCTATAAAGTGAACATCACATTATTTCCTAACTCTAAACGTGGATTGTCATTATAACCTAATGTCATTAATTTAAGTTATGACGGTATTTCCTAGATGCGGCAACGTCCATTATTGTTATTCACCATGATGTTTAATATTTAGACATTACTTCTTTTGTTTTAAAGGAAAAAACAAACACTTCTCTTCTGGAAATCGCATTAAGTATTAATAATTAATAATATGCATGAAACAGTCCTTGAAGTTTCAAAACTCTCGTTAAAACGACGCTATCAAGGTATTCTTCTCAAACTTATCAGAAACATTAGCCCTACTCAAAAATTTTATTAGTGGGCTAGGTGGGTACTACAAACCGGTTCACCTTTTCCGGTAAGTTTGAAAAACTCCTCGAAAACATTAACAGCTGAAATAAAAACAACATGTTAAAATATTGCACTAAACTTATTTAATCCATTCCAACGGGCCCAAAATTGAAATTGAATACATGAAATTCCGACATTTTAATAATAATTATTGTCATTAAATAATAGATTAAGTGGCTGGTACAAAAATCAATATCAGCTGTATCTAAAACCTAGAAGAAATTGACCTACAAAATACTATTTGTATCGATTGTGAGATTAGTCTGAAGGAGCTAATCCTACAAATAAAATCAATAGTAGTAGCTTAGCATTAATTTTTTTTTTGTGAGTTTTAATAAATTTGGTTACTTTTGTTTCCATGTATTCAATTGTAATTTTACACTACAATATTCTAAAAATACCTATTAGCTGGTAATTCTAATTGTTCTGGTTGTATTTCTATATTTGGTATCAAAATTTGCCCTCTGTTGAAATAAGTGTTTTTCATATAAAATTTCTAAATATCACGTTAGTTTTATATTTTATCACTTACTTTTTCGTGTTTTGTTTTTTTTTTTTTTTTTTTTTAAAGCGCCCTCAATAACTTAGACTTTCAAAACTCTATTTTTGGTAGTTTTGGGTACTTGTTTTCTCATTTATATACATCTAATTGATATCTGTACAATAATTTATTTATTACGCTAATTAAATAAACCATGTCGAAATAGTAGCCTAATTTTTTGGAGGCTAATTATTTATTTCATGGTGTACATATAAATATAATTTATTATGTATATATATATATGTATATGTTTATAAATATTTATTTACCCTATCTACGTCACATTTACACTAATTGTATTTGTACATCTCAAAAAATCAACCCTAAAATTATCACTTTTAGTTGGTTACAAGAATAGCCTTCAAAATTTAGGAAGGTAACATTCAGGGTACCAGTTTAGTATTAATCCATATCATAGAAATGGAATATCGGAAATATGAGGGCTAAAGGTAACTCAGAACACAACTGTCTCATCAGGTAAATCCATTATTTTCTATAACTGCTTTTTGATTTAATTCATACCAGAAGGGGTGTCAACCATTCGGTATCGTCTGCCAACTGTTAACAAAATTTTATTTATATATAAAAAATATTCTATAGTTATATTGTGTGTGTAGAAAAACAGTAATTTCTGCCAAAGCGAGTGATTTATGAGCTTCATCAATAACTATCAGCCTTTCTATGTAATAAAAATCTGCCTTATTCTGCTCAACACAAGCATTATATCATAAGCAATAGACACGTACTAATCAGCTAATATAATATTTAATTTTCCGAATTGAAAATTCACTAGCCTCTTAAACCGAAACTTTTGAATATGATTTTAATTATCTAGAGCTACTGGAGCAGCCATAGAGCAAATGTCAATAAAAGACCTACCTACATAATTATTTTGATTTTTTTTTTTTATTATGTAAATCTTCAATTAATTAGCGACATTACTTCATTGGCTGACTGATCGATATGAAAAGATTGTTTTAAAATAATGTTTTTTTTATAGCTTCAAATACTTTTTTGTTTATCAGAAGATCAAACCCTAGTTACCCGATAGTATAGGAGTTCGAATACTTTAATACATGACTATTTAAACTTATGACATCATTTGTCCTGACTGACTGACTGATTGATCTATCAATGCACAGCCAAAACTACTAGTCTAGAAAGCTGAAATTTGAAGTAGAGTTTCATTTTAGCTTTGTTCCAACACAGCAGAAAACCGTGCAATTTACCGTCAGGATTCTGCGCAAAAGTTTGTCTGTAAAATCCGAAATTCGTATACAGACTTTTGAAAAATAAAAATTTGAATTACCAGCTACTGAGCATGAACATGATGTGTTTCAGGGTTTTTGGATTTCAGATTTTGAGGGGGGGAGAGTTTGTATGGAGGTATTGTTTTTATTTTAAACAGGAGGCATGCAAGGCCGCGAGCAAGTTGACTATATCACCGTTATATGGTGTGAGAGCAACTGCCAATTTTTCTATTGGCATAAACCTTTACTAGACCTACCTGGACAAAACCAATTAGGAAATACAAACCACTTGACCTGCTAATATGGCTCGGAGAACAAATAATGTTTAATTTAACGTAAAAGCTTGAAATGCTTTTTCTTGAACTGAAATCCTGCTTTATATTTTGTGACTTCGGTTGTTCAGTTGGTTCATATTATAGACTATTTTTGTGATTATTTCACAAAAAAATATGCCTTTAGTAAATATTTAAAAAAACATTTGTTCGAAAACAGAAGCTGGAGAGAGGTATTTACTCAGGTTCTCAAATTAGAACTTATAGAAGCAAAATTATTATGATTAAAATTTGTTTTGATGTTACTAACTAACGGATTGAAAGCCTGTCTAATATGAGGATACCTTGGAATTGCTGCCTTTGACGTAATATGTTTTTCTTTAGTTAATAATATTTTTATGTCTTACTAAAAATGCACAGTATACCTAGAGTATTTTAAGTTTTAAAAGAGAGGTTGCATAGGATGAATTGTCATCTACAAGGCGTTGCCAAATTGATATAATGACGTGATACATAAAAGCCTCTTCTAGATGAGACACTGAAGCGCGCGTATAATCCAGAAAGAACGAATGAGGCCTTCTGGCGCAGACAGGTCGTCGCAATGGACTAAATTGTACTTCCTTCAATTCTGGACTAGATTCAGGATCACCTATGACCATTTCGCCAGTTTTTTGTACAACTGGATTGTTCCAAATTTCTGGGATTTGTTGAGAATTTAAAAAAATTGTAGGTAAGCTCTGATTGGCTTTAGTCTGACGTAGCTTTTTTCCAATCTGGTGAATGAACTCTATAACTCAGGGGTTACGGTGGCAACTGTGGTAGGGATCCATTTCTGCACTGCCGCAAAGGATGGCGGATATACAGCATCATTTTCTTGAAAATATCTACGTAGTTTTCATTCGAATTTGGTTTGTTGTTGTTGCTTGACATATTTATAGAAAAATTAGGAAAAACGTTGGCAAGCGTTCGTTCCATTAAAATTTGAGCTGATAGCTTTTCCGTGCGAATCCAGCAGTCTTCATGAATACTTTCCGCCTACATGCTAATAGGGCCCTACAAGCGCTTGTCGCCAATCAGTGGATCGCAAAAATTCTTGAAATTCAACGGAACCTTCTCCTTTATAAGACAAGTTCCTCCAAAGCTATTTTCAAAACCTAAATATGTTTATTCATAGATCAAAAATGAAACCAGTGTATAGTGAATGACCACTATGCCAAACTGCTCACGCTGATACTATAAGATAAGCCTTCCTGCATCTAAAACTTTCTTACACTTCAGCCCTCTATCACCAACAAGTTGTAACTACATAGAAGGGGGCGAAACGCGTGCATCTTGTAGCAAATAAACTGGCGGAATATCACACATTCTTTCAATCCTTATTGAGGGGAAGCGAATGGAACAAGATTGGACGTGAGCCGATTTTTTACTAATACAAAATATGGCACCAATGATACCTGAGTGCAGTATGACTATTGGTGCAGCTTTAACATTTTAGGTACATAGGGTGAATCTAGGCCCTGTCTTTTCATTTTTATTTCCAAATGCGATTTGAATCATTCACTTGTCACTGCTGCTTTAGAAATAGTCATCTACTTATACTGTTTATCAAGCAATATCATGAGCTTCAACCAATCCAGGCAGTTTCTTTTAAGCACTACTACTGGGGTAGAGCAGTTCTCAAATACTGGTCGAATTATAAAGACCGTTCGCTAACAAAACAACCTCCCGGCATCATTCTTCCACTAGTTTGGGTCAAGTCCATGACCCCCTCTATTATTTAATCTGCTCACAATGAAGACAAATCAGGTCTCTAGGTTTATCTAATCCTACTAAATTGAAAATGAAGAATGAGTTTTTCAATCCTTCAAAAAAATCCCATGAAACGTCAGAATCAGTGATAATTTTGAGGGAGAAAACTTTCAGATGTGTGTGAGTTTATTTGAAAACGAAACTAGTGAAACTTCTCAGAGCGATAACGAAGATGTTTTCTTCAGGGATATGCATCATTAGTCGCGCTATATCACAGAGATACATGTACTAAATCATTGATAAAAAAATTGAAACATCTCATCTGATGAATTTCGGTTTTACAGTTTCTATGTATTTATTCGTGTACTCAACAATCACTTTTTACTGAAAAAGAGATTCTAGAATTTGGATTATGTTTTCGCAGTCGTTGCAGTTTGGCCAAAAACGCCTGGCAGCTTTACCATAATATTATATGGTCTCTTCCGGGTCAGCTTGGGAGGAACTTTGTCTCATCGAGTTCCATCTTCACCTAAGATGAACAGCACCATAATATTTATATAAAAAAATACCAAGAGAACAGTTACAATAATTGAGGAGCACCGATGGTAACAAGAAAAGTCGCGTTGTATCAGTCAATTACAAAGCCGAGCGCACCCCTGGTTTTTTGGAAATTCCAAATTTCCAAGTAGAGGTACGACCATGTAATTTTAGGAAAGTAAAGGGTATAGGGTACCTAAGGATTACTACAAGCCATAATATTATAGGGCTTTTCCTTTTTGATTTATTTGCAAAAATAATAGGCATGTATCTCTCAGGTACATGCGCGACTAATGGAAGGGTAAAATAACAGAAGTGGCAAAAAAGTTTGATAAACAACACAAATATGGATCGAATGACACAATGGGGAAACGTTGCTGAGAAAAAAATTTTTTCTTTTACTTTTATACCGTTTGCTTTTCACAACTGCCTATGTTATCCATTTTTTTTTTTGCAAACCAGCTATAAGAATTTTATTGAATACCACAGCTTTGGACGAAACATGATATAAATGAAAAAAGCAGAATTCGAATTTTCTTTTCTTTGTCATTCTATCCTCCGCCTCATTTCGACCTATCGGGTCTCTTCAGCGTGGCTAGGAATGGCAATGAAGCGAAACCAATATTTCTGGTTTTAATTTTTTTTAGTTTGATTCCCAAAAATTAGAAAAACTTATGTGGTTAATCCAAAATAAACAAAACTAATAGATTTTATAACTTGAAGACGATGCAAAATATGATCAACATTTATATTGAAAAGACTTAAGGTTCGAGATCATCATTTGACTACCTATAGTCAAGTACATACTTGGGAGTTGACGCTGTAGGGCTATTAATTTCTTTTTATAATGCCGTCGGATATTGTTATCAAGTCTTAACTTGAGATGTCAAAATTACGATTTTCAAAATAGAAAAAACCCGGAAACAGGATACCTTCTAGCTACTAAGGCACTTTTCCAGCCTTTAAATCTACTTTGGTTTTCCGAAGAGTGCCTGCATCTGGGAAGAGTGTAACTGCCGTTTCGTCTAATGTAAACTTAGACAGTATAAGTATTCTCTTAAATGCTTTTACCCACAAGCTGGGCGGTACATTGCCTATTACGAACATACAAAAAAAACCACGGTGTAAACCGCTTTTGAAATCCGATGACTTGTATGCCTTCATCAACTTCAAAGCGCCCATTAAATGTTCGTTGATAATAATATTAAAGTTCCCCCGTTGGCAGTTTTTGGATTGTGAAACATGGATAATAGTAACTGCGTTCTGAGCGTCACAAATTTTCATATTCACCAGCTTCTAGATATAATGTTATGGTGGGTATAGCCAACTCTTAATGGATAATGCACAATTTTAATTCATAATTAATAATGTATAATTCATAACGCGTTATGCATAAGAGAAAAGAGGTGTTTATACAACGCATAATTTTTGTGCATTATGAATTGGCAAGACAGCCAAGTTTGACACTTGTTATTTTTCATAAAATAATAAATATTGAAATAAATAATAAATTAGGCTTTATATTCTTTGGAAAAATCCCATTTGTATTATTGAAAACGTAAAAATTCGATTTCAAATCAAAAATCATCGAAAACAATAAGAAAAAAGGCAACAAGATTTTGAGGTTATAAAGCAAAACTAACACAAAAACAAAGTTTAAAATAATCAATAAATATACGCTTGCGCTCTAGCGTTTTGTGTTTAATGCATAATGGATAATTCGTAAAAGTTAAAAGTTGGTCAACTTTAT